GGTTTGAAGTGAATTTTAATGAGCTGAATCCAATCTGCTCAGAGTTCTTCATATGTTCTATTATAGTGATGTGATCATAGTGAATGTGTGTGTGTGTTAATGTTCTGTACTAAATCAACTTATGTTAAAACAAAAGAGAGAGAAAACAGTATTCAACTTTTCCTATCTTGGACTGAAGCCATCAATGTTAAGTAGAACTATTGTCCTATAAGCAACCAAAAGAAAGAGGAAGCAAAACACTGAACATTACACTGAATATATTTACTAATACTGAATAACTTAATGAGTTCACAATACGATTAACTTCAGATAGAAATTATAATCTCATGGCATGTCTCCTTCACGGAGACATGCCAGGGCTCTGTTGGCTTCCAGCAGCTCATGACTGAGCTTTGTGCAGCTGTCCAGCACCTCCTGCAGCTCCTGCAGATTCACCTGCATCCTGTCACTGTTCTCTTCAAAGACCCTGTACATGTGCTCCTTCATCTGCATGCACAAATCTGTCACCTGATAGATGGAAAGGATCAGAACAGATCAGAGATGGTCAGAAGCTTTGTAGACATGACAGCCGAGCATCTGCTACTAGCTCCAGCTAGATGCATAAAATTAATTTTGTACCTTTTCTACCAATGTCTCCTGAAAGCTGTCTATCATTTTCTCGTTACTGATGCGGCTTTGGTTAATCTTTTCCACCAATTCCTGTGCCTTTCTGCTGATATCATCTGTCCTTGAGCTACAACAAATGTAGATTAGATTAGAATCCAATTCCTTATTGAAGTTAAGATTCCTATTTAATTAACATTTTCCCCACTTCCTTTACCTAACGATCTGTCCTCTATCCCCCATCACAGATTGGTTCTTTTAGCACATAAGTGAAATCCTGTCTTCCTGATCATTTAAGGGCTGCACTCTCTTTCACTCACTCTTTTTCATCACATTGGGCAGGAATTATTTTAGTTTAGTAACTTAATGTAACCAATAAATTCATAACTAGTGTAAATTGGAAACTTTGTTTATTTGCCAGACATAGCAGTCCATGGTTCTTCCACCCATTTAATTCACAATTGGATTAAATATACAGTAACTTAAACCTTTAAGTACAGAAGCACTTATTATTTGAGGAAAAATACAAGTGATCTTAAAGTAACGTTCCCAACATTACACAGCTGGGTGAGTAAAGATGACTGATCTACCTGCTACGGTGCTCTTGAATCTCAGTCACGCTCACACTTGAAGATTCCCCCCTTGATGAATCACAGTCTGTGTCTTCTGTCTGCCTCATCAAACATAATGAAACAAAGAAATTATTCTACTTTAATCAGCTGTATAAGAAACATTAATCATGGAGATCTAAGGAGGAAGAACTGAAATTATAGTTTAACCTGTAAAATCATCAATCACCCAAAGTAAAATCTCAGATTAATTAAGGCACTAGGCTACAGTACCTTCCTCCTTAGAGCTCAATTTGAGGGATGGACCACTACCGTTCAAAAGATATCCCAATGTTAAAGGAAAGAGCCGCCTGTAAAGTGTTAGTCTTAGGTGTTTAAGCAGTGGTGTGGTGATACTGGCCCCTCCTGGAATACACTGTATCCACAGAAACACTAGGGCACCTACACATTACACCTGCAGGAGCTGTTCATCCATGGAAACCCACACAAGAAGCTCCCAGTGAACAGTTTTTGTGCTGATATTAAAACCAGAGGAGGTTTGAACCTCTTACTGAGTCAAAACCATGCCCTAAACCCTATTCTGCAACTTTACCTTGTAAATGGCTGATCCTAGATGCATCCACTTTGCAATAATAACACTTAACAGCTGATCACTGAATGTCTAGTAGGGAGGAAATTTTACAAACTGACTTGTTGCAACAGTAGCAAAGACCCATCCTTTCACAAATGAAGAAAGATTTCACAGCTAGGTGCTTGATATGACACACCTGTGGACCATTATTTATTTTCATATAGTGTTTTTAATCATAACTGCACATAATCTTTGTCACCTTATCTAAATATGCCAGTATTGTTTTTATTCTTGTATTAAGAGAATACACATTACCATCCGTGAGACTTCACACCCTTTCTTGGGAGTGTACTGAAAATTTGATGGTAGGTCCTCAAAGCCAAAATCCATTTGGGCCTTTTGACTCTGCAAAGCTAAATCTGAGCTGAACGGGGGAAAAACAATCACACCATTACAAAAAAGTTTAAAATACAGTCATTAGCAAAAGTATATAGCTAGTTAGGCTAGTCTGTAAAGCTAGCTTAGTTACAGGCATATTTGCGTACAAAAAGAACCCCTCTATATAACATACATATTACATTATTCAGTTGGTCATATACAGTAATAAACAAGGGCTATAACCTAGCTTTGGCCCAAAACTGCTACACAAATAATGCTTTACACTAGCTAACGGCTAACTACTACCTATTTAGGATTAAAGCTAGAGTCATAATCCGGCGGTTTTTCTACTAAAACCTATTCAGCCATACTTACTTGAACATTATTGTGTTAAAACCACAGAATGTATATATCATGTGTGTCTGCAATTAATGGTTAAACGGGGAGATGTTCCCAGATACCTCGAAAAGTTGGGAATAGTAAAGCAACAGTAAACCACACTCGACTCCAAACCCACCTGTGGCGTAATCTATATTGGTGAATATCATGCGCCACTAGGGGGCAGTACTTACCCTTCTAGACAGGAAGTGATGCTATGTCATGACTTAGGGTGAGCTGGAATAAAGATGGTGGGATTCCACGTTATCGCCTAAATGAGGAGTTTTATTAAAAGAGCCCAACGCAACACCACCGACGTATGATTATAATTTTGTAGATATAAAAGCAAGGTTATCATAGTTAAACTAAATGAAACTACTGGTTAAGTTTTAGTTAACTGTAATAAATTAATAAAACAACAACCATCTGAATGATCCTAAAAACAAAAAATAGTCCAAGCGGCTTAATTTATGTATATACTTTATTTTTAGAATATCCTAATACAAGAAAAAGCAGCTTAGATACACATATTTATTGAAACTGAGACGTCTGGATAACTGAGAGTTAACCGACTTTAAAAATGGACGTATTTGTCATATTTCTTACATACCATAATACCAGTAAATGTCTAAGCAGAAAACGCGATTCATCAGGTCAGGCAATATTTTTCTAGTCTTCTTTTGCCCAGATTTCAAGGTTTTATGTTTATGTGCATTCAGAGATGATGTGTTTTCACTTTTCTTCTGATATCAACAAGGTAGAGAAGAAGAGAGCCAGAGAACTGCCACTCACTGGATACTTCCTTTTGGACCATCTATAAACTCTGTAGATGGGGAAATGTGAGGAAATTCAAATAGATCAGCAGTTTCTAACATTTTCAAACTTCTGCCTGGTGTTAGAGCCGTTTGATGTTTTTGGTGCTATTGCAACTTGTCACCACAAGAGGGAGTAGTAACGCTACTTGCCACTGTCTCCACTCCCATTTAATCCAGGTTCAATGCTGCTCAGGATGTGATGAGTTAGGACAGAGGCAAACAGTTTTTTAACCATGTATCATGTAAATGAGCGTGTATCATCAAGTATGGTTATGTTAGATCTTGTTTGCATCATCTTAAAAAAATCAGAGCACCCAACTTCGGACGGGCAGATGACCTGCTCCACTTCCTGAGGTACAGCCATCCCACTGAACTTCAGCAGGTCACCTTGATCAGGTCCACATACCTAAGTGCACTGAGAATTCAATAGTCTGATTTGATGTTATGTATATTTCTCATGTATGTAAATTGACTTTTATTTGGCTTAGAAGAAAAAGTGTGAACTAAAATTCACGTTATTTCTATCAGCTTCCAGAAATGGTGGTCTTCTTGCAGTAAGTGAGTGAGTTAAGCTTTTTTCCTACAACTGATATTTGGATGTGTTTTGCGCTTTAACTGCAAAGTTTTTGCAGCTGCACTTGAAAACAACAGTTCTTTGCATATTACATTAGATTGACTGGTTGATGTTCCAATAATATGGCACCAACATGACCAAGACGAGCAACGCAGCTCATGAGCTCAAAAGAAGGCAAACATTAGGTAATGTTTAAGAAGACCCAGCTTTTTAAATTTAGACCTTTCCAGGTGATGACCCCATTAAGCTGGTTTAGATATTGCCAATAGTGTCTGAAGCTATCATGCAGACAACTTCCTGTTAAAAGGCTGTAGAAAGAAAACTCTTTTTTTATGTACTTTTTCACGAGACATAGTTTCATTTTTTTATATGTTGTATCTTTTTTTTTTTTTTTTCAAAAGAAAGGATGCAAGCTAGTAGTAATGGTGAAACACCTTTAGGAAGCTGGTTTGTCTGAGCTTTTCACTGGGATGCTCTTCATATGTGTGGATTTGTGGGAATGGGTTTAATAGTAAGTGAGTATTATAGCTGAGTAAGCACTTACAAGATAGTTGTGGATTAGGTGCTCTGTCATTCTGTGGGCTGGGATTGGGATGGGATGAGGAGTTGCTTGATCGCTGCTGTGATTTGGAGCTTAATCCCTCCCTTCATCTCTCTCTGTCTCTCTCTCTTGCTCTGCTGCTGATCATAGTCTGGATTATTTCAGAACAGAGATTGCAGCACGCAGGAGGCAGCACAGAGGCTCATATCCTGATTTTTTTTTTGCTTTACTGGAGGATGAACTGATGATAACAACATGCATCATAATGCAAATTAAAGAATAAGCTGGGTAGAAATATGAGCTGGAGCTGGAGGGATCCACATGTGTTAAATCTGCAAGCAGCAAACACATGGTCTTGGCAGGTGGGTAAATTTACTCCTTGACTGGATTTGAAATGATAACAGATGTAGATTTTGACACTTTTCCTGTAAACTGTTGGGAGTGACGTCTCAGCAAGAAGGTAAATTATACATGCAATGGAATAACTGCTTCTCTGTGCTGGACGTGGAGGCTGCTAATCTGGGAATATGGACAGTTTTAACTACACAGAAGAAGGATTGCCATCATTTCAGTATTTGGTTTACAATGAGGAGCCTCTCTACAAGGAGTACAAGCCTCCTCCCAGAGATCTCATCCAGCTGCCCAAATCTGTCCTCTACCTTCTGATGGCCGCCCTGGTCGTGGTTGCTGTAGCTTACGCTATTGTGGGTCATCTCATCAAAGACCTCATGCTGGATATAACAGGTAATCTATTCTATCAGAGGTAGCTGCTCACTCCAATGATCTGAAAATTTTTTTATATACAAGACCATATTTTATTTTATTTTTTTAAATTGGAATAAAGTGATGTGCTGTGGTGTTTGCTAATGTGATGTAGTAGTTGGAGTAGTTTGTATTAATAGTCCAAACCTTAAATCCTTTCACCTTGGAGATCCCTGTACTGGGACCAGGCTGTATCCTTTTTAAAACACACCCGCTATTTTTAAAGGATTGCTAAACACAAGTGAAGAGACTGCAAACTACTATCACTAGAACAGAAACATTATGATTAAGGTCATTACCAAAGTTTCAGGTTTGGTGGAGTTGCAGCTGAGGTTTTCTGACATCATTGTCAATGTGCAATGCAACTATGAACATGCTCTTTACTAGTTCGCCGTTTTATTTATTAGTTTATTTCTTAAAGAACCCGAGGTTACTCGATTTGCCTTTTACTGCTGTGCAGACTGAATTTTGGGTGTTTCAGAAGTAAATTATAGGACAGTAAAGGTCAATAATTTTGATCTTATCCCTGCTTTTTTATCCATCTACAGACTGTTTGCTGGGACCAATTGAAGAGGAGCTAACGAAAGATGGAGAGGTGGAGGGAGTCAGCCCTCACCACATGCCACCTGCCCTCACTCACTCCCACCCAAATGCCTTCCACGTGTGGGATCAAGACGACATCATCATCCCTATGACGCCCGAACATGAGAGCCCGCTGCCCAGCCCTTTGATGACTGTCTCCCACTACATACCGTCCTTTTTCCCAGGCTCCATCAGTCTGGGCAGCCCTTCTCACAGTCGACCAATCCCAAAGGAGAGCGATGCATGAAGAACACAAAGGATCAACCTTCTTCTGCTGAGCTTCTTTAGCTCCTTTTTGTCATGTCTGAAACACCTTTCCAAACCTGCCCTAGAGTCACCCTATCTGTCTGGAAATACACAAGTTGTATGACTCACAAGGCCAGTTTGCATGCATGGATTTCCTTCTCTTGGAGCAGCTGATGTGTATTCGACCAAGACGGGAACAGACTACTGCACATTTCCTGCAGTCCTGAGCTCACGCAGAGCCTGTGATACTTTGTTTAACAGCCTTCACTTGTTGTGGATTTGTGCCAAGTTATCATCATGATTATACCTTTTTCTCCTGCCAGTTGTCATGTCATCCTAAACTGTCGCTAAAGTCTGTAGCTAAGATATAAAGAACTTAATTTTGATCATTTAACCACATTTATAATTGTGAACAAAGGCAAAGGTTCAAACTTCAGTTAATATCATGTATTAAAGCTTTTATTAACAACTGTTAATAATATCACAAAGTTTATTCACAAAATTTAAATACCTAAAGAGAAATAATAATGAAAGCAGTGCACCTTGAAGGTGTTTGTGCTGAATTCATGTGGTGAATATTGGTGCTTAGTCCATTTGCTAACACAGACTTATTCCTATACTAAATATATTCTGAGCCTTAGGAGGATAGGCTGAACTCGCTAATTAATAGGGTGAAGTTGATTCGATTAGTGTGACCTCTTTAAGGTGACTGTGTGATGCTTTCTAAAGATGTGAAGGTTACTTCAAAAAATGGAAAATACAAAAACAGAACAAGAATCTCCACTTTGATATTGAGGTTAAGAAAAGCAACATCAACAAATAAAACAAGTTTTTATTTCTAAGAATTTATAATTGATTGTTATTTAAATTCTAAAAAAAATGTGTATATGTAATGAACATCTGTAGAAGGGATGCTTTTCTTTTGCTTGTTGGGATTAAAAAAACATGGTTATACAACACCAAATGACAGATTTCAGGGGCCATTTTAAGCAGCATATTGGCCGGCAAAATCCGTGGAGATTAAAAGCACATGGAGGCTGTGACAACACACACACACATTTGCACGCTGTCAGCACTTTCACTCATAAAAACAGACCATGTTAATACGACATTTGCCAGCAAAGGTGGAGTAATCTCCTTTTTAGGTACAGGCCTGGAGCTTAAAAGGAGAAAAATGACCAGAGTAACATATTTCAGGGGGAACGTTCATTGAGTTCACATTGCTCATTCCATCTGTGAAACCCGGAGGTCAGCATTCAGTGAGGGGTGGAGATTACGGAGAGAAGATTAGATGAGCGGCTTAGCCTTTAATACAGTGTCCCTTTATTACTTTTGAGCTGTGGAATTAGATAATCGGACAGCATCGGGCCATTCTCAGCGTATGAACTTCCAAATCTTGTGTGAGACGAATGACTGAAGATCTTCAATGGCTTCCGGGGAAGAGAGGGGTCAAGAGCAGAAGCAGGAAGTAAAGAGCCAGAGATTAATGGGGAGAGGAAATGATTGGATTTAAGTGACCCAGGATTGAGCTCTCTGAAAGGGTTTTGTGTGACAGAGGCACAGAGGGTTAAAATTTCTATGACTGCATTTTTAAACACTGCCTCTGATGTTTGCTTTTGCTTGAAAGGAAAACAAATGCACAAATGTGGAGCGGAGCATTGCAGATGTGCAGGTGCACAAACGCTTCTCAAGACAACTCAAACAGCTAATTGATGACACAACTTTTTTATTTCACTAAATACATAGATTAAAAAAAACTTTTTAAAACCTTTTTTTCCTTTTGTTTTAAATCAAATCAATGCTTTTCTTTTTCTTGTTATTAATCCCACATTTTGTGCTCTCTTCTATTTCAGTGGTGTCAGTGGCAACAAACCTAACTAACTAACTGAGCTAACTTTGTAGCAGCAGAGGGCCGATCAAGGGCTTCATCTGTATGTTATTTTAACAGTTTTCTTGAAATTAGATTTAAGAAGTCTAAGATGTATTTTGGTCTCCTAAAGATGTTTGTGACTTAATCTGCTAAATTTTTGCCTTTTTAGTGCTTTTTTCCATTCATGCCAGTTCTGAAAATATGTATGATAGCCACTTAAAACCTGAATTTTAACTGCTGCTGATGTACTGCTAGAACATACAGGCATCCACTAGATGTGAAAGATCAGTAGACTGACTCACATACAGGAACTTTAGAAACTGCCTAATCTTTAGTGTCTGACCTGACATGTACCTCAGTCAGGTTTTCTTTTGGTCTACAGTGGATTTAAATAAGTCAGGGTTAAGTGATCCTTGGCAGTCCTCTATCTTCAGGTGATGGCTTACCCTCAACTGACTTCTCATCAGCATTGACTCACTTGGTGATTCTTGCTCTCACTCTGATGATGCATGACACTAGTGGACTTTAACTCATCCCAATTGGATCAGGATAACACTCACCGGCCCTGTAATAGCCTCGGTGTAGTTAAGGCAAGGCCAAGCTTAAGGTAAAAATGTTTGTGGCATTACATTATGTAGAATAAATTATAGTTCTTGCCTGTTGTTGTTTCTGAAAGCGATGGGTGAACATATTTTGACAATGGAGAATAAAAATCAACGATTCTCATAACTTTTTTTATATGAAACAGATTTTAGTTTATGAATTTTTTAAATATATATCAGCAGACGAAGGTAGAAAGAATAAAAACCAGCCTGTTGTCAGTCTCTGCGTCCTTCCCAGGTTAATTTTGACTGGCTGGCTGAATTTATTCAGATCACAGTCACTGCAAATCTGCTGTCGTCGAGCCTGATCCTCTGCTGGCAGGCCAGGTGGTTCTCTCTCACAGACAAAAGGGCTCTCCCTGTGAAAGTCTTGACCTCTCCTGTCCTTCAGCAATAGCCAGCCTCATCAGTATTAAATCTCCTGATGTGATGAAGTGCTGTTTCTGGCACACATGTAACAGATGAATAAATCAACTCTAAATTTGTCACAATATGTCTTTTATTTGCAAAAAAAAAAGTGCCTTTCTTTTGATGCATACCTCACCAATTCATTGATATTAACAGTCAGTTATATCAGAACTGGTAATAAAACGTGTACATTTCTTAAGTCTTTGGATTGAATAAGACTTGACAGGTTTCAGAAATCAGTGTAAGCCCCCAAATCATTCAATGCTTTCTCTAATTTCTCATTTGTTTTGAAAGACAAATTCAGATGCACTTGCAGAGTAAGAAATTCAAGCACCACAGCCACATTTTCAAAAGTTCAGGACAGATGACAAAGGCACTATTTATTTTACAGTAGCATAAAGTCACATTTAAAACCAGATGATTCTTTTAAAAATGCTTTGAAATTAATGCCAAAGATTTTTTTAAAACAAGAGATCAAGACTCACACTTACGCTGCAGATTACACCGTATATAACTGTTCCTGCTCATCAGTCTATTCAAGATCTCTTTGCGAGAGAACTGTGCGATAGAGAGAAGTGCCTTTCGCCTGGTAGAAAGTCACGGTCATCTTGTTCTTTGTCACTTCTGCATGGATGAATCCTCCCAGTGTTGAAGCCTTGCCGGTGAAAAACTTAAGAGAATCTTTGGGAACATGGTGCCAGTGACGGGTGTCAGGATCCAGGAAGTTTCCAGCACCGCTCACCACATAGCCTATGTTAGACTCTTCGAGGTACTGTGGGAGAAAGAAGAGGAAAATCCATTGTAGCTCTAAGAGTAGATATGCAGATTTATATCAAATGTTAAACATACTCTTCCCGAACCAACCTGCAGGTTGTGGTCATGGCCGCAGAGGTAAGCAGTGGCCTTGTATTTGATGAGCAGTGGACGGAGGCTTTGCACCAGACACTTTGTGGGGCCGTGCTCGGACACAGACCAAACAGGGTAGTGGCCTGCCACCAACAGGAAGTCTGCCTTGGACAGAGCCAGTCTCTCTTGCAGCCAAGCCAGCTGGCGATTGGCATCCAATTCATTCAGGGGTCCACTTGGCTTCTTGTCCGAATTGTCGTCAGAGTTACCGCAAAGCATCACAGTGTCAAGCATGATGATGGTCAGAGTCTTCCCCGTGTTGGGAATGCGGAAGTTCAGCTCATAGTAGTACGAGGGGAATTTCCTATCAAAGGTAATGAAGAGGCATCAAAATTTAACTGAGTATTTCCTAAAAGCTTAAAACTTTAATATGTCCGAACTTTATATTCTGCCCCTTACCATCTGTTAGATCTGCTGCTGTAGTCGATCTGGGCTTTGACATTCCCTGCGTGGTCGTGATTGCCAGCGATCACATACCAAGGGACTTGGAGGGACTTTGCAGTGTACACAGATTCAAAAGTTTCCTGATAAGAAGGAGGAAAACATAGTTACTGCTTTCAACACACAGTTTTAAAATACAGTGTTGTTTTTTCACGCCACATTTATTCTACTCACCTTAAACCGAGGAGAATCCACAGTGTTCACACCTTTGTAGTAGAAGTTATCGCCCAGAGCAAGAACAAAATCAGCTCCCATCTGGTCTGCTATTTTGCTCATTTCTTGAGCTGTGGCCTTCTGCACAGCAGTGATGTAGGGGGGATAAGGCACACCACCCCAGTCGCCCACTGCCAGAAACTTAATGGAGGTTCTGTTGCCTGTAAGAGGAAAAGAATATTAGTACTTCTGATTGGAAAGTAAGCTTATGAAAGTCAGTGTGGCGTAATACTCACTGCGACTTTCCTCCAGGTTTTGGAAGGCAGTTGGATAGCAGTAGGCCACGGGGATGGCAGCAATCAAGATGGATAAAATAGTGACTGCCATCTTCAAAGACAAACAAAGCATTGGAATTTAAGTTAACGGCAAATTTAAACTCGGCTCAGTCACAAGATGTGACACCACAGAAATGAAAGTCAGCACCTGCAAAAGCAACAAAGCAGAAGCAAAATGAAACAACCAAAACCACAACCTACCATGTGACTCTAAGCTTTGCGCTCTCTCTCTCTCTGCCTCCCACTACGCTAAAGAACAAGTCCCTCAGTTGTGCTTTTCTTTTTGTCCTAAAGGTGACTTGTGATTGGCTGCAGCCTAAAGCTGACATACCTCAGCTGGAGTAAATAGAAACCAACCAAAGAAACCGTGTGTGTGTGAGGCAAAGGTCAAACGTCTACATAATTAAACAGATAAAAAGACCCTCAACAGAGACGCCACAACAACAGTGTGAAGTGCTGCCTGATTGATGAGGGGGGGAAACAGCTTTTCCATGTGTAAAGAATAGGTGCCAATATGCAGAGATAATGTCGTCAAAGACAAAACACTCACGGCTGATGGGATCTGTTGGGACACTCTCCACCCTCAGAGTGATCGTCGTTCCCCCCTCGCCTTTTATCAGCAGTCCTGGAGGAGAGGATGTAGGAGGACCAGCCCCGGGACACGCTGGAGAGGCATGATCATTGCTCAGACACTGACTAGAAGGTCATAAGGGCACACATGTGATCTATTGTGGTTAATATAGCTGGTGTCCAGACATGTTTTCCACTTCAATATTATTCACTGATTTTCCTGTTTAGCTTGTTTTCTTTCAATCTTTTGCTTCCTGCTTTTTGAATAACTTCAAAATAACACGTAAAACACTAAGTTCAGTAAAATAATGGGTCAAATTGCTGAATATAGTCTTGCAGAATTAAACATGAACCAAAGAAAGTTGATTCTTTTCGTCTGGACGTTGCATTTTCACTGGTTGAAATGTTTGATCACCCATTCAAATGACTTCAGTTTCAGCTGACTGCAGCTTTCCCCACCTTACAAACACTACATTTGCATAACGACTGAAAACACTGACTCACAATGCTTTCCAAAAAACGTGGTTAATCCCAGTTAATTCATTTTGGTTTGGGCCTTTTTTCCCTTAATAAATGACGATCATCACCTGAAAACCAGCCTTATCTTTATCTCATATTAGAACTTGCTTGATCTGAAACACGCAAGTCTTACAAATATCCAACAAAAAAAAGAGGTTGAAGACTTTTTCACAGTGTTTCACACAAGTTTTGGTAAAAGGTTGAAGTATGTGAAGCCTCTATCAAGAAAAACTGCTGTAAGACATTACTGGAATTGTCTCTCACACCTAGAGGTGTCACATACTAATGCATAAACAAAGTATGCAGTTCTCCTTTTAGTGTGGTTACAGACCTCAATTCCCTGAAGTTGTTTTCGAGCGATATTCATTTGCTAAAACAAAAACACAAGATGAGTTTTACTGTTAATAATTTGCTGTCCTTAAGTTTTTTGTTTTTGCCGACAGTCAGCAAACCCTCATCTCTGGAGCTTCCACTTGTCCCCTCCTTTAATCTTTATCAAATTTCACTGGGAGTGCTAATATTGGATCAAGCTTGCAAAATGTGCTTTAAATTTTCAAATAACTTTAACTACACTCCTCTAATTACGGGTCAGTGAGGGTTCCTGTCAGCTTTAATAGCAGCGCAGGTAGGGAGAGCGTGGGTGCCGTATGCTTGTGCTGCATTCACAGCAGTCTGGCTGTGCATGCACAAATCATTTGCAGCTGTCACATGTCAGAGCTTGTTACGTCCCTGTGCAGCTTCTAATAGTCTCAGTGTTTTCAGCTGGTGCTAATTGGCCACACCTAGTCAGGTGTGGATAAAAGCATACCTGAGGCAAGCTTCCCGGCAGTGCACTAGTCTTTGCCTTGGTGGCACAAGCCATTTTAGCCAACCTGGTTTTCCATTTTAGGATGAACCCTCTTCTCACCCACACTCTGTTGTTCGTCTCCTTTTTTTTTTATGTTGCGGCTTTTGAGCCGGGTCGTAACAGCTTGAATAAGATGAAGCTCTTAAAATGCCAACAATCATACTAACAAGATCTCTGCAATGTCTGTAATTAAGAAACTGATGGTCAGAAGCTCAGCTCCAAAATAAGTCATTTATTTGTACAAGGATTAGAGCGTTTTTATGAGACAGAAAGGACTTCAGTTTAAAACAACAAGCAGCTTTACATAAAAAAAATATACTGATACAGAACCAGTACACTACATTAAAAAGACAAAACAACCCAACGTAACACTCATGTCAACATTGACGTGATGAAGGCTACAGATAAAAGAAACGTAACTTAAAACTGGCTTACTGGTTTGTCAAAAGAACTGACAACTGAGGTTAAGAGTATCAAACAAGATCAGCAGAATTCCAGTTTCAGAGAAAACACCAGCATTTCTTTTTTTATTTCTTTTTAAGAGAGGTACCTCAGGATGATCCCTAATCATCAAGGTGGGAAAGACTGCATATTTCATTATGCTGACATGCTTCCTTGCACTCTTTCCCCTCCCCCTCTGCCATCACAGAGGAACTCTGAACTGCTTAAATCCCACCTTGAGGAAATGAGGAGGCATCTGCAGGAGCTCAGAGCTGGGAAACAGGCCTATCCTTCCTTATAGCATTGCTCGAAGCAGTCAAGACATGAGGAAAAAAAGGGAGTCATGTAAGCATAATAAAAAGCACCAGTGATGTTATGATCAGTAATTCATGTCGCCGTATCCAGAGTATGAGCCCTGGGTGTGTCCTCCAAATCCCTGGTACATGCTGTACCCCTGATTCCCCCAGGACGACTGGTTTTCCCAGCCTGTGAAGAAACATTTATAACCCCAGATCATTTATATGTATAAATCAAGATTAAATATAAAGAAATAGGAAAAGCGGGAAGTTACTGTAAGAAATAGAAAAGGAACTTGCCATAATTATTATAACTCTGTCCCCCGGTGACAGAGCTGGGGTAAGCGGTGCTGTACATAGAGTAGTCTCCACCTTGGGTCAGCATCTTTCTCTTCTCATCTCCGTAGCCGTAGCTGTACGGACTCTCCTGATCAGCAGGAGGCGGCATTGACTGGTAGCTTTCTTCCTTCGTGGTGCTGGTGTTGGAGCTGGAGACGGGTGGGGATGAGTACGTGATGGTGGTGCTTTCGGGGTAAAAGGTGCCGTAGGCTGAGGTGGTGGGGGCGGTACCTTTGGCTGTGGCAGTGGCTCCATTATTGCCATATAATTTATCTTTAAGATAAGAGAAACAAGAGGTAAATGAGAGGTAAGTGCCATTTTCTTAAAAGACACGATCCTAGAGCTGCAACTGACGACAACTACAAGTGACTGTTGATCTATTTGCAAATCATAGAACCGAGACAGTTCACGCTTGTTCAAGTTTAAACAAACAAACAAACAAAACCCCACCACACACACAAAGATAAAGATCTTGATGCACGCTCAATCATCCAGGTAAGGGAATCCCAAAAAGTTGATCCTGTTTATCTGGACATAGCGTAGCAGGGAAGCAGAAAAACATCATTTGAAGAAAGCCCTGAGTGAAAGTCGCTATCCCAGCTGGACATTTGTCAAAGGTGGGAGAGCACCTAAAGAAAGCTCCAGGCAATCCAGAAGAGAAAAGGACAACTGTTACCTAAGTGAAAACCTTTAGTGATCCTTTATGTGTCAGGAGTATCGGAACGGCTGAGACCTCATCTCTGTGGCTTTCAACCCCCAAAACGTGCTCTGGCAGAAACTGGTCCACCCTAAGTATCGGGTCCCCCGGCACAACCAGAGTAATTTAGCGTACGCTGTTAAGCCATTGCCATGATTTATACACTGGGGAAACCAAACAACCCACAGGTCTATTCACACTACAGGCCAGTGGACACTCCTTCAATGATGAGGATGTACATATCCTGGGCAGGGAGGAACACTGGTTTGAGCGCAGAGTCAAGGAGACCATTTACATGAAAAGGGAAAGACCTCTGAATCAAGCAGGGGGCCTAAGGGCACCATCTTACAACACTGTGACTGCAGCCGCCAATCCCTAACTCTCTGTGAAGGGCCATTGACCAATTATCACTTCTCAATGTTTGTTGATCAATGGTCATGTCAATTTGCATATTAATGATCAAGAAACTGACCTCCAGGCCATTTTTCACCCTTGGTGCTAGTTTCAGTCTTTATGCAAATGTACTGGGTTGGAAACCAGCAGTGAGCTGAGACTGAAGAAGTCATTTGAATGAGTGCTGAAACATTTCTCCAACTGAAAAAGCTACGCCCAGAAGAACAGAATCAACTTTTTGGGACAAAGATAAATAAGTGAAACACATCTTGGAATGTTTACCTAGAAGTTTTAAATTTTGGTAAACATAATTACAAAAAAAAAAGGTCTTTTAGCCTTGTTATTGCATGCATCATCACATATATCCATCACATATAACTGTAATTTTAAAAAAATATAGGCATCTTATGCCTTTCAAAGAAATAAGCAAAGCTTCTGCATGATGTTTAAGCCTTATTTAAAAAAAGTGTACATCACCAAAAACATGTAAAACCAAATACACACACACCCTAACATAAAACCAGAGTGCATAAAGCTAATAGACAATCAGATACTTACGATAGCCTGTGCCAGTGCTGCTCTCATAACTGTAGTTGGCTTTTAAAACAAGAAATGACCATTTAGTGCAAACTCCATTTACAGGTTTAAAGGTTTCCTACGATGATTAAATTGACTCGTAAATAGTGTAAAGTTTCTTACTCTTGTTATAGCTGGGTCCTGCTGGAAACTGCTTGCCTCGACCCCTGCCCCGACCCCCTCTGTGGGGACCCCAGCCACGGGACCCTGAGTCTGAAGGGATGCCGCGGATGGTGCCGAATCCTGGGATGTGCTGTCAAAAAGGAAACGTGAGAAAAATGTCATTTTGAAACAGCCTGATAGTTAAATTGCTTGAGTTGTGCATTTTAAAGCTCACCAGTTGGATACATTACCATGTCAGTGTAGGTGACTTTCTTCTTTGAGGGATTTCTGTTATTTGAAAGTTCACTGTCATCTGGGAACAGCTTCTCTAAAGCAGCGAGGGCAGCGTAGGCCTTTGCTTCCTTCTTGTTGGAGCCTCGTCCTTTGAACTTCTGCCCATCAACTTCCACCTGTGAGACAGAAATAGGAGAAAAGATTTTAGGATTTTATGAAGCATGTCACAGCATTTATACACAGAGAGTGACTCCTGCTGGTAGAGGAGATGGAGAATGTGTGTTGTGCACGCCGTGTCTATTCTTTTGAGCAGCAGTGCAAAAACATAGCTACAGTGTTCTGCTGAACCTCCACATGCGCAGCATAGCATAACATTAGAATTTTAGTGAGTGGAGAGCCACCACCAACAAATCGCCTGTTACACCCGCACAGCCTAACAGCTCATTATAGTAACTCTAATGTATCCTCTGATCAATGGATGTTTATTAGTTTGGGTTTATCCTGCCAAGTTTAAACATCTATTACAGACCATATGCTGTTAATTTTGGGAAGAATCCTGTCCAGAATAATGGCTCACAGGACCAAAGGAAATCGTTTATCTCCCACCTCTGTCCTTCTTTCTGAAATAATCCCACCCACATGGCACTTAACGGATTAAACACAAATACAGAAATCTTTACTTGGCTCTACAGTTGCCTTTACAAAGCCCAAGATATCAAAGCTGCTATACAGTGCAGTGCTCACTTTACACCTGATTTCTGTTTGCTGTATACAATACTGCTGACTCACCTCCATGACAAAACACTTTTCATGGGAGCCACCCGTCTCTGCCGACAGCTCGTATTTCAGGCTGCGGCGCTTCTCGTTCAGCTCCATCACAGGGTTCTTGCCATTTTTTGTTAAGATTGGACCCTGACCAGTCTGTTCACAGCAAGCACACATAAGAAAAAACTGTGGTGAAATGCACAAGTGTTTCTCTCTGTGGGAACTTTTAGGATGCATTTGTAAATACGGAGTCCAAAGAGAGCTCAACGACATACATCTTCAGATGTAGAAGAAGTCGGTGCAACAGCTTTAACAGAGTCCTGGCTTCCTTCATTTTCACTACTGGGCTCTGATTTAGATTCAGAAGTTGTGGGAAGACCGAGATCTTGCAGTACCTGTGAAAAATGAAAGTCAAAATACTATAAGACACATAAAACAACATTGATTTCTTTGCCCAGTCTGACTTTACAAATGTTCAAACTTACAAGTTAGGCTGCACTTAAACAAACAATCAATTAGCAAAATATATGGAACCAATCAATAAACAGTAACTAGTCCATCAGCCAAAAAGTAACCAAGAAGAACACAGTACTGAGTATTTATAGTAAAAGTCAGCTTGTGTAGATAACAAACACCATTACCTTTGTGGCTACATTAAGCTTAGCGGCACGTTTGGAAGGCCCCGTTGCCTCGTACGTCTTTCCATTTAGATCGACAGCCATTGTAAAGACCGGCTCGTGAACTGGGCCAGTCTGAGATGTAAGTCTGTAATCCAGACCAGGTCTGTACTGGTTCAGACGCATCACGGCATTCATGGTAAGATCATCGGTGACTACAAGGAAACAACAAAATGAGCAAACAGATTCATTTTGAGAAGCACACACAGAAAAATAAGGCTACAGAAGTCAGCATAAAGAGTAAAAGACAAATGTCACATTAACATAGGAGTCACAAAGTTGTCATTTTCACAGCACTACTCAGCTTATGTGACTTAAATATTCTATCCAAGGACACCAAAAGATTTAAAAAAGTAAATCTAACCTTTAATAGCAGTTATAATTATTTTGATAAACAGAATGAAATATTATGGCAAAAGGAAATTATGTACACCTTGCCAGAAAAGCATGTTCATGTATGTAAACATACAGAATATTTATTCCACAATACCAAGTCTGTGTTTTGTCATACAGTTAAAGATCAAAGGGATTTTACAGCAGTATTTTTTGTGTTACAGTGAATAATTTGACATTCACTACTCACAGGATTTCTTCTGAAAGCGTTTCTGGAACTTGAGAAACTTTCTCTGTTTGCTGTTGAGGTGTGTGTCTTCTTCTCCTGTGTCCACGTCTGTGAAAGGTCTCTTAGCTGGCAGGTTCAGTTGTCCAACAGGTGGTATCTGGGCTACAGTTATTAAAAAAAAAAAAAAAAAAAAAAAAGAGATTTGATGGAAGTGTTGATTTTTCGAACACAGGAAATAAAGAAAAAAAAAAAAAAATAATAGCCCACCCATGCCATCTCTGTAATTTGCTCCCAGCGATTTTCGTGACCTCAGAGGTTTAGAGTCCATCCCCAACACTTTGTGCATCTGTCCAAATGCACACAGCCTCAAGGCAAACTAAGAAAAACATCAAAGTTATGCACTAATTTGTTGATTTAATTATAAAGGTGTACATGTGTGTGGGTGCTTCTACAGGCTCACCTTACCTGAGCACTCTGTGTGATGTCTTCACACTGCTGCCTAGTCAAATAGCCAATGGCATCAACAGCTTCCTTTTCACAAGGATCTTTAATTCCAGGGCCATCTGTGCACAAATACCATTCAACTGGTGCATGAATGTCAGCTCAGTGTATAAATTTACATGCAAGTTGCACAACTCAAATAAAATCTCACCTTCCATAAGTATTCCTGAGGCTACGCACTCTAAAACCCTGCGGAGGGCCTCGCCCGCTCCCAGTGATCTCTCAGATGTACCAATAGCTTTCTCCACTAGCAGTTCAAGTGGCTATGTGGAGACAAGAAGACAAAACCGACACTTCAGGATGAAAGCAGCTGAAATGACTTAAACACAAATCTCCGCTTTGCTGCTGTCGGAGTAGATGCACAAAGACTTTCCTCACCCATCCTGAGAGTGGCGTCCAGGTAGGAACGCGGTTACACAAGTCCCTCATGAGTCGGATCACAACGACGGCAGAATTCAGGGTGTTAACTTTTGCCTGGAGGCAGAAACAAAGCCCATTAGGTTAGCAGAGCTTCTGTCTGTGATGGAATCCTTTCTGAGATTTCAAACAAACAAAAACAAAACAACCCAAGCACAGAAGAGTAATAAGTACTGAGCCTTCTCCAAATCAACAGTAAGTAAAACTTATTCAAGCTATGTTAGCCATTTATGACCTTTGACGTTGAAATCGAGAGAGCTCAGTCTCTCGACATGTACTCATGTCGATACCAATGATTTATCCACTTCTGTCATTGGTATAGATGAGCATTAATTTAGACATTTTATAAAGATCATTAACAATATGAACAAAAACTGAGAGCAAAAACTGTTACGGTCCTCTAAATGGACAGGAAATAAAAGATCACTCAAGGAAAACAGTTCAACCTGATGTACAAGTAAGGACGTGAATGCAAACCTGGAACCACTTGGCGTGGCGGAGAGACGCCAAGGCAGTTAGGCATTTCTGCCTGTCCAGAACGTCCGGCGGATCGTTGACTGTTCGCGTTTCTATTGACGAGGTGGGGTAAGAAGAAAAGGTACAGTTTGACCAAGGGGGTTGTCTCTGTCTTGCAGCTCAGGGAGTAGCAAACAAAAACCAGCAAACAACCAGCAGCAGGGAAAGGGGGTTTACATAAAGACACGTTTTGTCCCAGCAACCATAAAGGTCTGCTAAAAGAGATCCCAATTATATTTTCCACAGTGTATGCGGAAGTAAGACGACTGTCAGAAACAGCTGTAGTATTTATTTATAACATTGCACAGCATTAAAATATATGCACTGCACTACATCAAATACCCCCTCCCCTGAGCCACTGGGATTAGGTTTGTTGCTTCTCCCCCCTCCTGAGACAGTGTGTCCAGTTGGTCAAAGGTCCAGCGTTCCTAAAAAACTTGACAAACTAAAAGGTAATCAGTTGTAAATCACAAGCATTTAAGAAGCTTTACGTCTGCCCTACGCTGCAGCAAAACTGATGAATCCCTCAGAAAAAAAGTGGCCTAAAAAAGGCTTTATGACAGACTGGCTATATTAAAAAACAAAAACAGAAAACAACAACAAAACAAACAAAGAAAAAATACCAGCTTTGGGCAAGTTTTAGCTCATTTGTTCTACATTATACAGCTAGGGATACACCGGCTGATAATCTATGCCAATGCTGATGACAAATAATTTGTGCAGTAGCCTATGCCAGGAGTTTTTGTTAGTATTTATTACCCCTAGAATTGATGTGAAAGATCAACAAGATCAATCTCTGCCACTGTAAATATGCAACAGTAAATATGTTTTGGGGAAAAAAATATCTGCTCACTTAACAAGGCTGATCCATGTTTGAACAGTATACTATGCACAACTCTGCTTGGACTCTGTTGAGTTGAGTGGAGTTGACTGAATTTAAATTGATACATTTATCAGGGGTGCATGATATTAGCAAGGATTTTAATCACTGTGGCATTTAACAAACACAACTTAAAGTTTTAAAATATCAACTTGCACATTTAACTTGTCCAAACCTTGACCTTAAATTAGACCTTTGCCTAAAATGATTGTTTTATTGAAACAGAGTAAATATGGTTTGATCCAACAATGATTAAGCATTAATAATCCTACCCCAGGACGTAACAGCTCCAATAATTATCCAGTCTAATAATTTTATTACTAATATTGCAGGATTTTTAATGTGCAGTCCCAGTGTATAGTGTATTAAAATGGACTAAAACTGCACTGAGACTGATATGGTTCTCAGTCTGAGGCTCCCCCTGAAATTCAAATAAACTTTAGACTACCAGATAAATGCAGCTAACGCTAATCAACACAGGAGCTTTCAAACACTACACCAACCAAAATATTCACCTGAACAATGATTTTTTTTGCCTTATATTGTAAATCCTCCTAAGGTAGGCAACAGCTGATCAGTTTTGCTGCAGCTAGTTCCAAACACATGTTCAGCATCAAGGATCATGCATGCGCGCTTGAACTTGTTATTCTTAAAAAAAGCCTTCACTTGAAACATGAAAACAACAAGAATATACAAGTTTTTTTTTGTTGTTGTTTTAAATGACTGAGGCACTGTCACTAACAACATGAGCAGGATGCATCAGTGACTACAGAGGAAATATCCTGCATACGTCAGTTTGCAACAAAAACGACGAAAGGACTCTCGTGCGAGCAAAGAGTCAATGTTCACTGGCATCAGTCTGACACGGTCACTGTACAAGCTCCACTGAGGTTTAATGAGATGGGACAACTGGTTTGATTTCAAACAGTCAGTGCAGATTAATAAATCAGTGGAGCAGTACAGCGCCTGCATACCGACAACACAGATCAGGGCTGGGCCGACATACGCACCTTCTTCTTCGTCTGCTTCTTCTTCAGCAGTTTCACTCTCTTGCACTGTCCTGACAAGAGGTGATGTCAGGTGGATAATAAGAGTCAGAACTGACTCCTTGGTGCTCGTAACAACAATGGCTGCATCTCCTGGACACTGGCTGACTGCATATGTCTCAGGTGAATTAGTCTATTAAAAAAAGAGAACAAATAATTAAGACGGTTAAACCTGGATTAAAATAATCCAAGTCAAAATATGTGACATGTGTTTTTAAAGTATGCTGCAGGCACTCATTTCTACCTCTAACTGTGCAGAGAGTTTTTCGGCCACTTGTTTCAGCAGAGTAACTGTAGGCTTGTTGGAACAAAGCAGCACCAGCTCCACGTTCTTGTCCCCCTTCAGAAGGAGTCCCTTAGCCACCAAACCAACTCGCATAACCCCACGCAGCACACGCTCTTGTGAGCCATCACTTTAAGTTGAGGGGTGCAAAAAAAATAAAAAATAAAAATTGCCAATTAAATCATTTATATTAAAACAAAAGCAGTTTTATTTATTTATTTTAAAAGCTTGCAGATATCCTTTTAAAAGCATCGCAGGTTATTCTCTCTTACCTCTGTGCTTCTGTATTTGCTTCGTCATCTTTTGGAGCATCCATCTGGTCAGATACAGTCTTGAGAGCGCACTCCACATGGGAGACGATTGTCTGTACTGCCTCCAACTCCTCTGTTGGGGGGTACACTTCAGAATGTTTGGCCAACACGTAGCGATCATATGGGCCCGCCTGTACGTGAGTTGTTGCAGATTCCTTAAATAGAAAAAAAAATTAAATAAATAAAATAAAGACAAAGTTCATACTGGAGGAAACTCACTGCAGATAACAGTAAATGTATAATTACTTCATATTGCAATATTATTTCATGACAGGTAAGTGTTAGGATTCATTAAAGCCATTTTTTAAACTACGTTTTACTGCTGCTGATATATTCCAGTGAAGACATATGAAGAAGTATAATAATAGAGTAATAGCGGTAATAGGAAGTCTGTGATTTAAAAAAAAAAAGAAAAAAAAAAGGAAAAATAAACAGGCGACAGCTTTCAAGAGGAACAATGTTTTTGCAGAACGAGGGGAAACAAAATGGGGATGGAAAAATACGACATGTTCTGTGAATTCAGGGTTTCCACCAGGGACGTTGTTGGACCTGGCGGCTACTGTGACCAAAATGGGGGTTTATTACAGTAACTTAACGTCACAAGATATTCATGAGACAATATTCTCCTGTTATATTGTCACGACTAAAAAAGACTTAAGCATTAAAAAAAGGTTGTGTGTTTAAAATCATAGAAATACCAGAAGGACAACACTTAATAATATTTAATCGTTAACCTCTACTAAACTTAGACATGGAAAGCTGCAGGGTTTGTAATACAATGGAGTAGAAACCCTGTGATTATCTAGTGTATCTATTTATCAGGCAAAACAGAACCAACCTCACGATAACGTTTATCCTCCATATGCTCGATAGCAGCAATGTAGTCATGGTACTGTCTAAGCTCCTCTTCATAGCACAGACAGTCATACCAGTAACGCAACTCCTCATATCTGGAAGACAAAAGAATTTGAGAACATATGAAGAAAAGTTTCAGAGCTCAAGTTAGAAGAGATGTGTCAAGTGACATAATTTATGTCACTTAATTTCAGTGTTGGTCAAGTTACTTGAAAAAAGTAATCAGTAACTAATAACTGATTACTCCCCCCAAAAAGTAATCCCATTACTTTACTGATTACTTATTTTCAAAAGTAATTAATTACTTAGTTACTTTTTAAAAAACACGATTTACAACCTGAAGAGGTGATAAAGTGATAGATCTTTCAGCCCAATTCTACTTTTTCTGCATAATCCATCATACAAAATGTAATCAAATGGAAAAGTCTCTTTTTAAAACTTGTTTTATCAGTTTTAACCTTTTAACTTTATGCATCAAGCAAAAATTTAATTATATGCAACGTTCTCTGACTGGAAGAAATTTGTTTTAAACCTATTTAAACCTATTTTCTGCACATTCCAGCACATAAAATATATATTTTTTGTGTGTTTACACTCACTCTTTCAAATAGATGCAAGTAAAACACAGCAGAAAATAAATAACATCAAAGACTAGCGGTCTTGTTGCTCTATTTTCACCTGTACAGCAGGAGTGGCATAGGCGGAGGTTTACCCTGGTGCAGGTGTGCCGCAGCGGTCAGTGGAAGAATCCGCGAGTTTCTCTGTGAATTTCCCATTATGTCATAGCGCACTCCGTGCTTGCTTGGAAGTTTAGGGGTTTTTTTCGCTTTAAAAAGAAGTTTTCTTCCCACGCACAACGGACGCTAATGTTTTTGTCACTTTTTATGGAATCAAACTCAAAATAAGGTCAGTACTTCCACGCTTTAAACGCTGCACGCTCATACTCTCTCCCGCACTCGATATATGATGCACTGTTGATCTGCACACAGTTGTTGTCACGAACGTCGCACTCGCTTACGTCACTGTCATGAGACATTCTCGCTAAAAATCACGGTTTTAGTAACGCAGTAATGCAGCGTTCCTACGGGAAAGTAACGGTAATCTAATTACCGTTTTTGCAATAGTAATCCCTTACTTTACTCGTTACCTGAAAAAAGTAATCAGATTACATACTCTGCTTAATTTCACAGGACAGGGAAACATACTCTTGTTAATGTATCGGCTCTTAAATTTGCACTGAAACGGCTGATCTACTCAGTATGCTTCAATGATAATAACAACAATTTCTTCCATAGAGTAATAAAGGTTGTTTTCAGCACAACAATAACAAGCATTTAGCTTACTGGAAAACAAATCTATTCCTCATTATCTGACAGAGCTGTTCAAAGGCTGCAGACTTGTTCCAGCAGACAAGTCGAACTGTGCCGCATCATAGACACATAATGTACCTTATTCTACTTGCGTGACATCCCAAACACTCAATCAATACCTACGTGCACGGGAGGGATGTTTACTCGCCTCTCACAATTTTATAGGAAGCATATTTGGAAGGACTGAGCCTAGAATTTAAAGTCTAAAACTCTGTGTCCCAGACACAAACTAACCTTAGATTAAAAATGAATTTTAAAAAAGTGGTATTCTTTTTTAATTTTTCACACTTTAGAACTAGGTATAATGCAGGTCTGTAAACTGGCTGTGCGAGTATAATCACACTAGGCACACTCCGTACAGTGCTCAAGTATGTTTGACCCCCCCAAAGTCCACATTATTTGACTAGTGCCATGTGATGAATGTAAACTGTGCCCAAACATGAAACTCAGATATTTTGTCAACAACAGCAGCCTTGATTGCTTTGTTACTTGACAGATCTAAAAGCTATTTAAGAGAAGACTTACCTAAAAAAAACAAAAAAACAACAAAATACATAAAGTCATGAAGCTCCCTATATTTTGCAAGTGTGCCTTTAAAAAGTGTGTGTGTTCAAGAAAGCGAGAGAGGCAATGAGATGCACAAACAAACCTGAAGCATACTCCAGCCAGATGTTTAAGCATGGTGTGAACACAGGCCAATGTGGCAACATGTGAGTGAACCTTTACTCTGTGCTTGCAATGAACCAATTCCTTGAACATGAGCTGCCTGACTGAAAGAGACTTTTCAGTCTTCAAGAGATTATTCTTCATAGTTTGTGTTTTGTTTATTTCATTTAGAGCTGTTCGATATAACGATATATATCGGATGGCTCATTTTACACTATCGTTTGTTTTGTGGTGTCATAAAATAAACTGTTTACAGCAATATTTTTTTCATCGTTTTGATGGTCACTGTAGTGGCTATATTAATTTCTTAAAGTTCTCTCTTTCTCTTATATTTTATATAACCACACTACAATGGACAAGCGCCTGTTTTTATGCATTGTGGTTAGCAACAAAGATGGTAACAGCATCGTGTCCGCTTGTTTATTTTCCACACAAACCTTTCACAATAAAGCTCAAGATCCTGTTGAGACTTTTCAAAATAAACTGAATCACGTGAAAGAGCAGATTATTTACGGATGAGAATTAAAAAAAGAGCCGCCAGGTGCTAAAAAATAAACCTTAGACTCAAACGTTAGAACAGGCTTTTCCCCGCAGCACGCTGTGTAATAAATACTCACAAAGAAAACTGTTACAGTTATGCTGTTACAACTTATGTCTAAAAATGTATAGTTTCATGCATCGGTTAAAACACTTGACTCCAGCTACATGACTCGCAGCTGGAAACACTTCCCGCAAGACGAGCTTCCCGAGATTCACAGAATTTACAGAAAATGTTACATTTTTGTGATTTATGTCGTTATTGGAAAGATAGAATACTTATATCGGGATATGAGATTTTGGTCATATCGCACAGCCCTAATTTCATTAGTTTTTTTTTTCCTTTATACAGAACCTGTTGCTGTATTTTAATGAAAAGTACAGAGTGTACTATGCAAATGCTAGCTTTCGGGCATCTTTTATTCAGGACCATGCATCATGTGCGTGTACCTGTCGAAATCATGCGGATGGAGGCGGTGTCCCTGTTGTATCAGGCTGTCCCAGTACAGCAGCTCCTCGTATGCCTGGTGCTCGTCCCACACTGGCGCTGCAGCGGCCGCCATGCTGTCGCGATCGCAGGACCCAAGCTACCACCTGTGCGCCCCCAAGTATACACCACTGTTAAAAACAGTTAGCAGGCAATTGGCTGTGTAATAACAACCACAATAAAGCAGAAGATGATTTGACATTATCCATGTATATGCTAACGTTAACTAAGCGGTACACTTGTTACGCTGCAGGCTGAGACATGTGGTTAGGATGCAGTAACTACGCTCACAGCAAACTAAATATATTTATAATAATAATAATGATGATGATAATAAAAAAACTGGTCCCTTACACCCATAATTATTCCATCCACATAAGTCAAGGCAGCCAATTAGCCTATGTTTACAGCGACTGGATGCTAGCAAGCTAGGTGAAGTTACCCAGAATGTCAGTGCTGTTAACGTTGCATTACATTTCGATTATGTCTTTAGAGCTCACCTCTGTCAACGGGCCAGTAAACAGGTGTAGGTCCCTTAACGTTGTTAGCTTCAGGATGTTAGGTTAGTTTGAGATGAGCCAGGCCTGCGCAGGATCGGTCACTCCGGTGAAGTTTCGCTTCTTCTTCTCCTAGTTTAATTGCGGGTCGCACATTACCGTGTTTAGGTGTATACCGCCACCTGGTGAACCGGAGTGTGCGTTATGTCATAACTAACTAACTAACTAACTAACTAACTAAATAAATAAAAAAATAAAAAAAAAAATAAAAAAATAAATAAATGCAAAGTAAAAGCAAGAGTAAAAAGGATGACTTGTTTGAACATGTTCCATGTTGGACATTCCACAAATGCACTACAAACTAGACCTTGGAACAATATGCTTATTTGCACACCTCAGTCACATAGTTATTGAACACGTCTACAATATATTTGCACATTTTGCATCTTGCACATGTCTTCGTCCTGTCTTGTCTACAATATTGTGAGCATAACATGAACCTGGTATTCAATACCCACTGCACAATAGTCTCACTTTACTGTAATTGCACATGACCACTTTGTATTGTCTCTTATTCTGTCTTTGTTTATTGTACATATATTTAGTTAGTAGTAGTACATTTTTATCTTTTTAATTTGACTTAAATTTAGCAAGGGGTGAAATGGCATTTTGATATGCTGTATACTGTGTATATTGTTATACTGACAATAAAAACCTTGAATCTTTAATCTTGAATATTCAGAGGAGGGACAGAGGATAGACTGGCCAAAGGTTGTTGAAGATGGAGCTCTGAAGCAGGAGGAAAGGAGGAGAACAGACTAGTGCAACAGGAGGAGAATGCAGACGGGAAGGAGATAATCCTCAATGGAAAAGCTGCATACCACTTCTTCTGTCACAAATCCTTCACTGTCTCCCAGTTTTCCATTATGGTATCGCTCGACTGTCATCCATTAGTTCATCAATATTTCTTCTCTTGAAGTTCATTATGCATTTCTGTTTATATTTGGATCTTGACCCACCCATTTGCTGAGACCTAACTATTCGAGGAAAAACATTCTAAGTGGAATATGATGATCTCAGTGTCTACTTATGGCTCTGGGATCTAAGCCTCTTGGGCCTCTTCTATCTGTTACAAACCAAAAATTATTGGAACTAACTGCTCTACGTCAATTTTTTTTTCCAATATAGCCATCAGACTCAGTTGTATATGTTCAGATATCCACTCCCCTGATCATCCCAAGTAAACATTTGAATCCATTTTCTCTTCTGTTCTGTGTGATGTAAGTCCACATCTAACACTGAAAATATCCACGGAGGAACATTACATCACACAGTTACTACTCTTACCTTTTCACATCATATTCTTCTGCTATCGTTATTTCCATTTTTGTAATATGTCAGCTTTCACCAGTTTGCATTATGCAATCTGGTTAGACTTTGGTCCTGCTTCATACTAACAAAGATATAATGCAATGTTGTTAGCTGCTAATATTTTGGAGAACAAATAGGAATAAATATGTTAATTTAATCAATTTTTTCTATTCATGATGCAGATTATTTTTTAGTTTTAAATGATCTGATACAATTGCGATCAGTCCAGGTTGTTCTGTGCCTCTTGCTCTATGACAGCTGCATAGGCTCCAGCCACTCCCTGCAACCCTAAGCTTGGAAAGTGATTTAGAAAATGGATGGAAAGATGATCCAGTCCACTTAAAAACCGTTATTTGGTCCAATATTTCTGTTTGAACTTAACCTAAATGGTTCTTGTAAAGGATTCTGTTGTTTGAGATCCATTTTAATACAGGTCAGTATTTTATTTTATTTCAGACACACATAAAGTTAACTGTATTTAATTTAGAAACGCATACACAAAAAACAAAAATGTAGAATTTGTATCAGTGTCCTCCATTGCATACAGTGCTTAACAAAATTATAAGATCACCACCCAATGTAAGGCTCAACTGCCCTAAATTAATAATTTAAAATTTGGTAATTGCGAAAATCATTATTTATGTTTCTGTAATGTTAATCCATCTTCACAAGCTATTTTATCAAAATGATATTTTTTAATGCAAAAATAGAAATATTTTTGTTATCCACAAATTTTAAAACTTACTGTTCCATAAAAAAGCAAAAAATTAATAAATAAAAATATTTTTTTGAAATTGAAATTACAGTTATTTACTTGGAGTCCTGAACAAAAAAAAAAAAAATATTTTGTTGTTGTTGTTGTTGTTGTTGAATGTTATGCTGGATTGGTTTCGGACTTCTCAGAGAAGTCCAGTTTGCCAGTTCAAATGTAGGTATTACAACATGAATTCAGTTTATTTTTTCCCGTAATAAACATCAACATGACTTTTAGTTACTGACAGATTTCTAAAATATTTGTGTTCTCTTGTTTTTATGTGGTCTAATAATTTTGTTAATCACTGTATGGGTAAATGAAAAAACAAACTTGCAAGAAACATGATCATGATTGAATTATTTTACCTGCTCTGTACCCCACAATATAACCAGCCCAGATCCTGTGATCAGCTGAAATAAGAAAGGGTCAATAGGGCATATGTCCACTCACCAAGATTGGATGGCAAAACCTATTATGATTGGACTGAAAGCTTTATGGGAGGTTAAATAAATATCAGATTTCATTTATTTAACATTTTGCAGTAATATTTAACATTATCCAGAATAATGAAGGAGCAATTGGAAATAGCAAGTCTAGATCTTCTAGGAATTTAGAGACATTTCTAGGACAAAATAAAAAGGCATCAGACTTTTTTGTGGTTGTAGGTGAACTAATAATAATAATAATAATAATAATAATAATAATAATAAACACTGATGTCACAGACATCTGTATGATAGTAGAGTACAACATTTTTTAAAAGCTAAAAGATTCTGTTTCTAGCTTAGGGAAAAAATAAATACAAAGTTCTGGAATAAAATCACATTGAATCGTTTTTTATTTACATTCAGTCTTTACACACACTCAGAAAAATGAGTGTATAATTCAAGTATTACGTTATAACCTCTTACTTTATTTCACAAAAAGAAATATATAAGCACACATAGAGCATATAAACATACATAAACTCCACAGTATTTGAATATTAACATTCCTTAATGAAACACATTCAGCAGAATACGCTCTAAATACTTCTGGGTTTAGTACGGTGCTCCCTCCAAATGTTAAAACCAGTACAACTGATTTCTTTTGCAACCATACAATGAAGGCATGCCAACTGTGCAATTCATGTCTTTAAAAGCAGATAGAACTGAGTACAAATAAATCAATGCAATACTGTATGTAGTCCCTGTATAAGTGGCACTTCTGCAAAACTTTGAGCTTCTCCAGACAAAGCGTGGTTAGTACTGCAGCCATATGCGGCCTAAATCGTTCCCTTTTCCTCTTAAGAGTTTCCTTATGAGGGTATAATAACAAGGAATGTTCACTCAATGCAGGTAAACAGTAGAAAAGTGTATATTTTGTGCAAAATCATAGCATTAGCTAGCTTTCATTTATAAGGTCCAGACCATGAACTCAGGGTAAACTTTGATGATGTGAGAAAGAGAAATGATGATTCAATCCAAGAAGCACTTTTTTAGAGAAGGTTTAAAAGCCACGGAGGTGTTTTCAAACATCCTGCTCTTCTGTTGGCTTTTCTTTATAAAGATCTTTGCTGAGTTCTTCATATGCTCACTGACCTGGTAACAAAATATATCCGCAAATTACTATGTCAGCCTTTCTCTCAGATCAGACTTGATCTACATCATTCTTCTCTGAGCTAGGAAAAGAGGACGGCTCCCAACGGCCCAAAATAGTACCCCTCAGGCCTGCCTGGCACTTAGCGATGAGGTAGATTTTGCGGAGCACGGTGCGGCGCAACAGGATGTAAACCCAGGGGTCGAGGATCTGGTTCCACGTGGCCAGCCTCACTCCCATCACCATCAGGGTTTCATAGTATGACAAGCTGTGTCCAATGGTTCCCGTGTAGGAGTGAATCACGGACATCAGGCCAAAGATCTGCAGACATGAAACATAAAACTACAGTTAGTAAAATGAAAAGTAAAAACAATATATTAAAAGAATAGCAAAATAAATGTTTATAAAAATAGAATGCCACTCTACCCTCCTTAGTGTCATAGATACAGTGACATTGCTTTATAAGGTCTGGCTATAGTTGTACTAACCTCTTATTGATATTTTAAAGTAGAGACTGCAGGAGTAAAAGTTTTATTTCCGAGTAGCTGGACTGCATTGCGCCTAATACCTGGTATTAAAATCTTCAGCTTTGATACCAATACTTTTAATTAGTGAAATCTATAATATGCAATCATCTTAGGGAGAGCAATGTAATGAGATCACTTGTATTTACCATTTATTTAATAATGATAGTGCAAATTCTCTGATCACATGCAGGTATCATAAGACAAAAAACCTTCTGCTTCATATATGTTTGTGCACAGAAGTAACACCTGAGCCTTCTTACATCACATTACATTAAATTTGCATGCTACTGATATGTAACTATCAGCAATGTGCTGATGTTTGACCAAAAAATTACAAAGTCACCATGTCTGTCATGCCCAGTTTGAAACTGTAATGGACTGGTCACCTGTCCGAGGTGCGCCCTGACTTTTGTCAGGTGGCATTGGCTCGAGCCCCACACAAACCCTCAATTTGGATAAACAGTTAAGAAAATGGAAGGATGGAAGCAACCGATGGAAATAATTTCACTTTAGTAAAACAGAATTTGGCTGAATCTTTACGTGAGTCAGTCAAGCAAATGACAATCTGAGTAAACTGAAATCACCAAATTAAAAAACACATTGTAAGCTTCTTAATATGATACAAACCAGATACCAGCTGTGTATGTTGTTTTGTCCTTGAGGACTGCTGCACAGTTCACTTGAGTGGCTGCATGAAAGCTTGAGCAAGAATTTTTGCACTGCTGTTGTTCCTTGAGATGTAAGCTAGAGTTTGTTGGCAGGTCTAACTTGAGAGATACTTTCCCATTCTCATTTTCTGCTAATCCTATATAAACCCTTGATAGCGTGCAAAATCCCTCTGTTATTATGCATGTGACGCACTTTTTAAATATGCGGTCTTTCTTTCTGACCACATTTCTGCTTCAGTCTCTGTTTGCACATTGTTTTTTTGTTTTCTTAACTGAGCTTGATATTTAAACAAAGTGATTGACTTACACAAAGTAAGAGCACTTACTCTTTAATTTAGCAGTTGTTGTTCCCTGTCTGACATTTGATCCCATAATGATCCAGCTGTGTAATGTGATCCAGTTCTCTTCAGAAATGTGTTAAATAAGAATTTCATGTTTTGTTTTGTTTTTACAGAAACAAGGCCATTTGGACAGAAGATTCTTTCTTTCTTTCTTTTTTTGTCTTTGTCAGCACTGATCCTGTTGCTAATGCAGTGTGACTTTAAATATTACTTCTAACTTCACAGTTTTTAACCAAAATTCTCAGTTTGCCCCTAATCTCACAGTTGCACTATGTGACATAACTTGAAAACCTCCAAAAATTTGAGGAGTAAAAATACTGCTTAACCACCACATAGGTGCTTTCAAACATACTGGCTAAAAATCCACTTGTAGTGAGCTGCCAGAATGAGTAAGAGAGCTGTAAAGCTGCTGTGATCTAACAGCTGCAATAAAACTGACGAGAGTTAATAAAGCACAGTATGGGCATGAAGGCAAGCATGCTCAGAGTGTCGCTAATCAGCCAACCTAAGTAGAAACATCTGTGTGAGAGAACATTTGATGCGTAAGAGCTCTTTCTTTTTTTATTTTTAGACAACAGGTGAAGTCTACCATCTTACTGACTTTTCTTTCTTAACCTTGTACTTCCTGACACTCACCAGCAGAGGGCTCCAACAGATACACGAGGTGACCATTATTCCAACGAGCTGCACCACCATCTCTATGTCGTGGGACTTGGCTGAGTGATGGGAGCCGGGCTGCCTCCTGAGCCGGGCGAAGACCAGTGTCAGTCCACTGATGGTGTTACAAACCAGCGCCACAGCTAGCGAGGCCAGCCCAAGTCCAGAGAACAATACTACAAATGCCACATCCACCTCCTTAGTGTCACTGAGCACTTTGATGAAACACCAGGTCCCTGGCTCTTGATAGGTGTAGGAACCCAGCTGAAAGCAGGGTAGCAAGGCCACACTTAAGGCTGCCAGCCAGATGATGGAAAGACAAATTTTTGCACGTCTTTTTGTGACCAAAGATGAGTGCAGCAGTGGTTTAGTAACACCCAGGCATCGCTCGGCAGCCATGGCACAGCCCATGAAGAGAGGGCATAGTCCGAAGAACACCATGCTGCCACCGAGGAACTGGCACATCCCATCAGAGGAGTTGACATACTGAGGCCTTGCAGCTCCAGAGAGGTAGAGTCGGAGAACCAGGGCACCAGGAATCACATGGCCAATCGAGTCTGTAATCACCAGTGACGTGGCAAACAGAAGGAATGTAGCTTTGGAGCGCCGGCGCTGAAGGGAGTAAGCATTAACCAGGATGAAGAGGGCCACAATGTTGGAAATGATGCCCAGTGTCATGGACAATATGACAATGAACGCTCCACCAGCGGTAGGCTCCTCAAAGGTGAGGTTTTCATGGTGTGACAGCCCTTCAACAGCAGCCCTGACCTCCACCTTCCCTCCACTGTCATTAGCCACATGAGGGAGAAGCAGGGGGGCTGAGGAGTTGTAGTGGCTCAAAGCTAACATCTCTGAACTCTGAAGGTCGTGAGATCCATAGTTAGGTGAGGCTGCAGGAGAGAGAAAAGGCATATTTAGTTATAAAGCACTCTTAAGCTGCTGTTGATCCGTGTAAAATGATATTGATGAGTTGATTTAACAAAAACTGTAATAACTATTCACACAAATACAAATAAAAGTTCAGGAAATATCCTGGAAAAAATGAATGCAGAAAATCCCAACCCAACCAAACATCTACAATAGTGTTCCCAGATTTGTTTATTTAAATGTGATGACACAGGAGGACACAAAAACCAACCAGGTGGGGGGAACATGAGACTAACGGTTTTATTTGTGAACAGAATTCCTGCCTCGAAGCATAAACAAGGAGACGTGGCTGCCTTGCAATGAGGCATGGTGGCTGCACTGAAGCACAAGATTGAACTCTGGGGCACAAAATGCAGTACGGTTACAACCGTATTTATGTTTTATCTTCCTGAGTGGGGGACAGTGCCAGGTCAGGTGGTCCTTTAGCCACAGCCCTTAGAGGGTAGGCTATTAGATATTGGCAGATTGTTAAAACGCCAAAAGAGACAATAGCTTTCAGAAGGAATGCGTTCATCTCTCTCTCTGGCCAAAGAATCACTGACAAGAGGCAGTAAAGCCGCTTCTGAAACCAAAGGCACCACCTTTACGTGACATCCTATAATGGTCATCTTTTAAGATTTCAGGGCTGCTGACATTTAAAAGATTCAAAAACACTACAAGAAAGAAAAGAAGGAAATTATTGTTTTCACATCTATTGCGTTCCACACGAATATGGCTCTTGTTCTTTTATAACTGAGTTTGATTCAGGTGGAAGTATGTGAAAGAAGTGCAAAGGAGAGAACTTTAATAGTTGTATGACACACAAATGTCTTATAAATGTACTTATAATTATTCATCATAGGCAGGAACATTTTTTCAATCTTTTATACATATATTTAATATATATATATATATTTAATAGATGACAAATGTTTAAGTTCTTCTTCTTCTTCTTCTTTTTGATTTGTAAATATTCCTTTTGAACCCAACCTGACACACTTGAGCGATGAAAGGACACAGGATGACAGACAGCAAGTAGAGGCTACTGAGGCAGCTGTCAGGACTGCAGTGCTTTGTTAATCAAAGTGGAGCGTCACTGTTAGGTTTAGTTTGGAGGTCAAACATAGTTAAACAGAACAGAACTCCCAGCAACACAAAAAAAAGACTAAATATTGGGGGAAATCAGAGCTGAGCATTATTCAGCTCACTGTTCACGATGCTTCATTCCATAATCACATACATTTTTTTAACACAGAGAATCCTTATACCTCGTTTGTGGTGTCTAAACAGTAACAGTAATTGCCTTAATTTAAACTAATTAAAACAATTACTGGATCCAGTTTCTACCAGAAAGAAATATAAATTTTTAGGGCTGTCTCCTGCCTACTGTTTCAGACTTCCACAGAGCCCAGCGACAGCCAGTAAGCTGCTTTTCTGCACCACAACACACCCTATCACAATTTCTTCTCACCACTTTGTTAAATCTATGAGAACTCCCACACTGATCTGTATATTTTCAGAAAAGTTCACATTTCCACTAAATAAGAAACATAGAAATACAGATGTTAACAAAAAATAATACATATAAAATGAACAAAGACTTATTCTTTTTTATTACTCCTCTTCATCATTATTATTATTTAAATGGAAGAAATTACTTACCACTCGACAGTTGATTAGTTATCTTATAAGTCCAGCTGGTTTATCTTTGTGATTCATAAGGATAATCCAAAGAAATCCAGAAGAAAAAATCTGTTTTCATTAGAAGTCATGTTTCCTTTCGACAAGCTCCACTGCAGCGATGTCCGTCGCGGAGTTTTTTCCATTGCTTAAGACTCCTGTCTATTTCACTGTGGCTTTTAAAGGATCCCCACTGACGCTGAAATACCGACTCACATTTTTATAGCGCGGTGTCCTCCAGTCTGTGTGGGCGTCTCTGCTGCTGTTCGCCCCCTGAGTCAAGTCCGTCTCACCCCTGTGCTGCACTTTCCCTGCAGCCTGTTTACATTACCTGCACGACCAGTAAGCGCAACCTAGCGTCACTTAACGTGTCATTTCTCAAAAAAAGAGTGAAGGGAAAAATAATTTAAAAAGAAAAAGTCATTATTTTTTACCTAAGCAGCACGCTGTTAGAGTTTTAATTTCCCTGTAAACTTCAAAATGTTGGTCTCGAAATAGTTAATAAAGCTTTATTTGCAGTAATCAGCTTGAAGCGAAGACACTTTTCAGCTCCTGGCTCTTCTGTAAATGAATCGATCTGAACAGATTCGGTTCCATAGGCTGCGCTATTAATCTATTTATTTTTGCAGTTGAATGCGTAACTCTGAGCTCAAAATAACCTCTGCTGAGGTATCAGTTGTCCAGTACATGGTGGATATTAGTTCTTCCTATGAAGGGTCTTCTATTTCAGTAATTCCAATAAACGACCTCAGTATTCAGGAGCAAAGGGCTGACGTTTATCTAGATATAATTTAAAAAACAATGAAATAAAAAAAAAAGTTTAAAAAAGACGAGGATACATGTGAAGGTGTTTGTTTTGCAGTTGTAGTTTAGATAATTTGGTATGGAAAAGCCATATTCACGCTCTAGAAAAAAAACAGATGTTCCTCAAGGACCCTGGTGTTAGTCTTGAGGGTTTCTGCAGCTGTGTAAAGGAAAAATGTATTCTGCTTGATTGACACTTTTCCTGTAGTACATACTGAAGCCAGGTGGCTTTGTTTGTTTGAATTTTACAAGATCGTGGAATGCAAGCTGGAGCACACTAGCACACATTTTGGGTTGGAAACTGAGCAAAAGCAACATTAGAGATTGGCTGCTGGTTCACAGGAAAGAGCAGAGATGGGCACTGACATGTAAATTGTTTTCATTTTGTTTTTTTTCCTTTAAAAAAATTAAATCAAGACACCTGGAGGAAGAATTTAGGCCCTGCGAGAGTCTTAAAGGGAGGAGTGCGCAGAAAATATCAAAACATCTATTAGATGGGATTACATCTTGAAAAAGAAGCCCAGTCTCAAAGAGGTTTGTAAAACAGGCGAAAAATTTAGTTGATTTATGATCCAAGACACAAATGTCATACTTTTTTTTTCTTGTTTATGCAGATGAAAAACATTTTCCTCTACGAAAGACTGGTGCAAGTGGATTCTTGGCGTAAGGTGGACCAGGCTGCTTGCTGCCTCATTCCAACAGAAAGATAGTCACTGGTGGCACCTATAGTTTACCCTTGACTTGGTTTATTTCACACTGACACACATTGATGCAAACAGCAGAAGTCCAAAAATCATCCTCCTGGAGTTAATTTCACCTGAGCAGGTGAAATTACTCCATTCATAATACATCCTGATTGAACAGGTTTAATCAAGCGTAGACACTTAGCAAACAATACACACAGACCATTTAATGCAATAGATCATTGCTCCACAATCAATAAACTAGAAACCACAGTTGTCTCGTTAGACATAGACCAGGTAAAGTGGAAATTTTTATTTGCAGTTTTACACAAATTTGGATTTGGTACATTCTTCAAAAAATGGATCAAAACACAGCTATCCAAATGCATGTGTTAGGACAAATAAACTTAATTTGCAAGGCTTTAATCTAATGAGGGGCACCAGACAGGCCTAGCTTTTTGTCCTTTTCATTGAACCACTAGCAGCAGCAATCCGATATGCCTATATGCTGATGATGCTATTACTTTTCCTTGGGAACTCACAAAACTCTCTTCTGGAGTGAATTGCGCTCATAGATTTAACTGGGGTAAATCAAGACCTCTACCTGTGAACTGTAAATATCAGAACACCTCCACCACTCCATTACAATCAGGTAACATTATTTACATCAGTAAAGATCTCTACTCTGCCTTTCAGAGGTTTCACTATTAAGCATGATTACTTCTTAATACTGAAGCATGCGGGGCCCCGTCCTCGGCTTGTACTGGGGTCAGCTTCTCGCTGCCTGCAGTCCCTTGGCATTCTTGCCCTCGGCTCTGTCCGGGACCTTTCTCTTCCCCCATCTGATTTGAGCGCTCAATCGTCATCTGCATGTGTGGCCTTGGGTTTTGGGTTTTCTTAGGGCTTCCCATGTATTCACTGTTAACCTCTGGCTTTTGAGGGGGCATAGTTGTTGTTGTTGGAGTCTCTCACCCTCATTCTTAAGTATGTTTCATGACAAACGCTTATACAAAGACACTCACATTCTCTCTCTTGCTTTCTCTCTCTTTCTCAATGACAAACACACATACAAAGAGCAAAATTGTATGTTTGTGTACTCCATTTGTTTGGTCTTACAATATAAAGTGTGTTGAAACAACTGTTGTTGTAAGTTGGTGCTATGTAAATAAAACTGAATTGAATTAAACTGAACTAATGTCATTTGGGTTCATCCTTGTGTACAAAATATGAAGGCCATCCAGCAATTATTATTAATGTTTAAATGCAAAGCGAAACTGTAAGCGCTCTTTTGGATCCCTGTGGTTTGAAGTTTCGTATTCAGAATCACATGTACCCAAACAGATGTTTCAGGGTCGAAAGTGCCCACCAAAATAAACACATAAAAATTAAGGCATCCTTGGTTGCATCTTACCCCTGTCTTCTGTTATAATTTTTTGTCTGCAATGAAAAAAATGTTTTTTTAAAGCTTGAGGAGAAGTAATGTGATAAAGGTCAGCAGGAAATATTTTCTCAGGATAATGAACGCCTCCCCACAGGTCCTTAGGGATTTGCCAAAAAAAGAGGGCTGCCAAAACAGAAGTGACTGGTATGATTTGAGAAATGGAGAAAGTTGGACAAATTCTCATAGAAGCAGGCAAATTGAGCTTCACGTAGGTGGGTTGGAAGAAACAACACAATGCAAGGCAGCTCCAAGCCAATCAGCAAATCCTCCTGATTTGCTGCCTGGATGATTTGATCTGTGTCTTGCCACTGGATTGTAGATGAAAACCAGAAACTAAACTAACTTTGAATCATAGTGCATCACAGAAAGCGCTCCAAACCTGAGAGATGAATCTTTGTCATTTGACAGAAATAATGTCTGAGTGAATTCCATCCAACCTGAAAACATGTTAAACTAATTGTTGGTTTGTTATGGTAACTGTGGGAAGTTTAGGCAAGGCTAAGAAATGCATTACTTTTAAGAACCTGTCAATGACAACTGAGCCTGGCCATGAAATAGGAGTAACTGGTCAGCGCATTCAGCTTCTGGAAATGAAGCAAAAGCTCTGGAGGTAGAAGTGAGATGAGTTAGAGGTGCTGCTACCTGGTTATAGTTTGTGATGAATTGGCAATAGAAGCTGGCAAAGCCCATAAAGTGCTGTAATTGTTTCCAAGTGGTTGGAGTGGGCCCTTTGGTCATGGCTTTGACTTTCTCCAGGTCCATTTTCACTGGCCCACTCTTGAGAATATAACTCAAAAATGATACTAAAGAAGTGTGAAATTCACATCTCTTTTCCTTCACATACAGTCTCTTTTCCAGTTACTTTTGCAAAGCCTTAATGAAATGGCATTTTATTTTTTTCTAGAATGTCATCAAGAAACACAAAGTTGTTCAGAAAATCCTTAAGAAAGTAAAGCTTGGAGGGCTGAAGCTGAGTTAGTTAATCCAAAAAGACACCACGCGATACTATAAAGGTGTATTAAATGTGGTCTTCCAAAAACCCAGCACCCACTGGAGAAGATGGATGGATGGATGGAGCCACAATTGGTCATCAAGCAGGATTTGTTCTCCAGTGGAATCAACAAAGACTTGGAAAGCTGACTATCGTTTCTTGTGGTTAGAGATCTTAAGTCTTTCAGAGATGCTGGCTCGTCCTTTAAAGCTAGTTCATGTTTAAGCTGATTATTTAAGAAATGATGGTAACCGATTTTTAGTGCCTTTGTCCCTGACACAATTCAGTTGAGAACTCAGTGACAGTATTTGTCTGGTATAAATTAAAGAACCATCTAGCTGCTCAAACACTCTATTAAACGCCTTACAAACTTATGTGGATGACTCATTTGACCAGCTAATAAAATAAGACTCAGCTCTCCGAAGAGCTTGATCATTAAGCAAACCCACAACATGAGAAATCTTTGGGTAGTCGTTAGAGAAGCCACGGGGTGTATTACTGAGCAGTAAAGGCCACTTCAACAGAAAACCCCTGCAGTAACCCAGCTCACGTGTATACACAGGGGTTGCACACACAGGGGTTGCACACACAGGGGAACAAAATCAGATTCCATTACATTGGGCTGAACTGGTGTTTCAGTGACAGAGGGTTGTGGCAATTTCAAATTCACTGATTGAATAGTGTGATTCATTGGATCTAGCCTCTGATGAGTTCCCTGTTGTTGTAGTATTGCAGTGTTTTTCTTTGCAGGAGCAGTGACTGGCTGGATGGTCCAGGCAAGTGGAACTGGAAGTGTCTGTGACACTCCTTGAAGCAACAGGAGTCCCAGAAAACAGTGCAATCACTCTGATTTTGGCTGGGCAACTGAAGAACAGTCAAGAAAGCAGGTATACAGACTGAAAAAAACACAAAAACTTTTTAGAGGCATTAGAGGCTTAACACCCACTACAATAGGAACAACAACGTGGCAAAGAGTAGCTTCTCTTACTGCCTCCTAAAGGTTTCTCCTTTTCTCCACTTGTCTTCCTTTTAACCAGTTACTTTGTCTCTTCATCCTTTTACCTAAGTGGGATTTATAGTCAAACACAGGGAGCACGTTCGCCCTCCGTTCCACTCCAGGGACTGCCCGTCTGCCTGCATGGAGCTCTGTTGTCAGATGACGGCAGGGTACAAAGCACGCGCTCCAGCCATCCATGGTCCACTCTTGGTTGTGTTGCTGTTGCTCTGTGAACCAGAGGGAAAGGAGAGTGAAGTTATAGGACACAATGAAATAATGAAAAGTGTCAACTGCAGCCTCTGTCTGTGCTTTTAATCCTTTGTCTTTTGCATGGACGCACATTTTTCCCAAAAAAGTGTAAGTGAACACACACTATAAAAACCCACTTTAGCCAGTCAGAGGGATAGCTCAATAT